CCCCAACAGACATTCTACTGACTATAAGTAACTTTGCAAGTACATATTAATATATTATAACCCTAACCCATCTACTAATACTCTAACACTCTAATGAGTTAGTTAAACGTTAGTTATAGTCAACAGAATATGTTAAAGGGACCATCAAAATAAAGTGAAACCCATAAAGTAATGTGTGACTACATTGAGCTAAATCCAAAAAATAAACTTGTTAGTTCAATAACACTTTCAAAGTGTTCATGCTGCCTTAAATTTTAAATTTAATTTTATTAAATAAGTCAGCTCAAATATCTGATTTGTCACTTAGTACAACTTAAAGGTCCCCTGAAGTGCCTTGAAACACACAGCGTTATTCTATGTGGTGACGTAATTTCAAATGAAACAAGAAGACAGGGCGGGACATATCGAGCAGCCCCGCCCCCTTTTTAAATGAGCCAATAGTGTTTTGTTTATATCTGCACGGGTCAGAGGGAGCCGTTAAGCTTGGTAAAGCCCCATTTGACAGCCACAGTCTAATACTTTACCCCCTAGATTCAATATGAAACTCTTAGTAAAACAAAACAGTGATCAAAATCATGCTGAGGCTGTGTAGTTTTAAAAGTATTTAATATATGCCGACTCGCGCATTTGATCCACTCCGTGCGATCTCGTCTCTGGACCGGAGCCAAAGTCTGGATCGGACTGTGCGCTGCCGCGGTTCGCGTGACACAACGTGAAACCAGACCTCATTTGCCCCAATCGAAAGCATACACTGTCTGAATCGTTCCCTCTCGCCTACATTGTGCACTACGTGCCATTCACTGTACAGGAAATACTACACTGTGAACAAGTGACCGATCTCAGCTGCAGCTTCAGCGTCTATTTATAGTGTAGGGGGCGGGCGCTTCGGCTTCTAGAGAGTGTTTGATTGGTCAGAAGATTTGATGAGAAGATGAAGTAAGATGTGACGTCAAAAATCATTGAGCCGTTTTGGCGGAAGTGACGAACTAAAAGCTTTGAACGCTTATATCTTCTAAATGCAAATTCTGTCACTGTTTTGTAGCACACCCAAAAATGTTGATTTCATGGGGACTTTAACATTTCAAACTGAGCAAAATTACAACAGAATTTTTTGGTGTTACAAGAATATTTGATTAACAAATTATGCCAAATTTGTAGTCAAATGCTAATACATCCTTCCAAAATAATTACTAATCATTTGGAACTGATTATGAAGCATTTATATCATGGTAACCAACTGGTAAAGTGTTACCAAATCCATCAGAAGGAATTACTATCCCAAACCTTACAAAAACTCATAAGCTTTCAGTGATTCGTCATTACTAGGGAGTTGCATGGTCTTCATTAATAATTACTTATACATTATGTATTCATTTTAATTATGAACTTGTATATAGAAGTTCTTGTTAGTGCTCTTCAATGTCTGAAAAAAATAGTAATTAATAGTGAACTGCCTGCTATTATGGTGTTATTACTAATTTGTTAATAAGCGTTTCTGTTAGTTAACAATAGTTACTAGAATGTTAATTTCGTTACTCATTAGTTAGTGATTCAATAATGATGGAACAGGATTCTAAAGTGTTACTCATAATTCTTCTAAGCAACAGTACAAATTATCTAGCTACAACCTTGTTTTATCGCATTAGCAGTATGTTGGAAAGTATAACTATACTCTTCACTGGCTTGCAGAAGCTAGCAAAACATACACCTCTTTGACCTACACTGATGCTAGAGAACAGTTGAATTTGTTTGATAGTGGATAGCAGAGTGTTCCTTTTGTGTTAGTTTAGCCTCAGGTCTGCAGTATCCTGAGAAATATATTTTATCTGATTTTTACCAGGCTCCCCAGAATGAGAAAAAAAAACTCTTATATAGCACATTTTCCCAGTGGATGATGGAGTGGCTATCTAAGACCTTCTATCAATGCTCCAACAAACCAAACAAGCTCGGGGAGTCCAACTAGATCATTTATAGCATTAGACATTGATCATCTCTCAATACTGCAGTCTAATCTCTTTCCAAGACTGATGAGTAAATTTAGCCCGGTTTGCTACGCTAAGTGCTTGCTTGAGTAATTGACATCAATACATAGATTGAGGGTTTATCCCAGTGATTTTGAGCTTGTGTTTCTAGTCCAGGCTATGTAGAGTTAATCCATATAGATTATGTGGATTTCTTGTGTCAGGTATTAAAGCATATCATTAATGAATTTATTTTTCACACATTTTCACATTCACAGTTACAGTGGGGCAAAAAAGTATTTAGTCAGCCACCAATTGTGCAAGTTCTCCCACTTAAAAAGATGAGAGAGGCCTGTAATTTTCATCATAGGTATACCTCAACTATGAGAGACAAAATGAGAAAAAAAAATCCAGAAAATCACATTGTAGGATTTTTAAAGAATTAATTGGTAAATTCCTCGGTAAAATAAGTATTTGGTCACCTACAAACAAGCAAGATTTCTGGCTCTCACAGACCTGTAACTTCTTCTTTAAGAGGCTCCTCTGTCCTCCACTCGTTACCTGTATTAATGGCATCTGTTTGAACTCGTTATCAGTATAAAAGACACCTGTCCACAACCTCAAACAGTCACACTCCAAACTCCACCATGGCCAAGAGCTGTCAAAGGACACCAGAAACAAAATTGTAGACCTGCACCTGGCTGGGAAGACTGAATATGCAATAGGTAAGCAGCTTGGTGTGAAAAAATCAACTGTGGGAGCAATTATTAGAAAATGGAAGACATACAAGACCACTGATAATCTCCCTCAATCTGGGGCTCCACGCAAGATCTCACCCCGTGGGGTCAAAATGATCACAAGAACTGTGAGCAAAAATCCCAGAACCACACGGAGGGACCTAGTGAATGACCTGCAGAGAGCTGGGACCAAAGTAACAAAGGCTACCATCAGTAACACACTGCGCCGCCAGGGACTCAAACCCTGCAGTGCCAGACGTGTCCCCCTGCTTAAACCAGTACATGTCCAGGCCCGTCTGAAGTTTGCTAGAGAGCATTTGGATGATCCAGAAGAGGATTGGGAGAATGTCATATGGACAGAGGAAACCAAAATAGAACTTTTTGGTAAAAACTCAACTTGAGGAGAAAGAATGCTGAGTTGCATCCAAAGAACACCATACCTACTGTGAAGCATGGGGGTGGAAACATCATGCTTTGGGGCTGTTTTTCTGCAAAGGGACCAGGACGACTGATCCGTGTAAACAAAAGAATGAATGGGGCCATGTATCGTGAGATTTTGAGTGAAAACCTCCTTCCATCAGCAAGGGCATTGAAGATGAAACGTGGCTGGGTCTTCCAGCATGACAATGATCCCAATCCCACCGCCCGGGCAACGAAGGAGTGGCTTCATAAGAAGCATTTCAAGGTCCTGGAGTGGCCTAGCCAGTCTCCAGATCTCAACCCCATAGAAAATCTTTGGAGGGAGTTGAAAATCCGTGTTGCCCAGCGACAGCCCCAAAACATTACTGCTCTAGAGGAGATCTGCATGGAGGAATGGGCCAAAATACCAGCAACAGTGTGTGAAAACCTTGTGAAGACTTACAGAAAAAGTTTGACCTCTGTCATTGCCAACAAAAGGTGTATATAACAAAGTATTGAGATGAAATTGTGTTATTGACCAAATACTTATTTTCCACCATAATTTGCAAATAAATTATTTAAAAATCCTACAATGTGATTTTCTGGAATTTTTTTTCTCATTTTGTCTCTCATAGTTGAGGTATACCTATGATGAAAATTACAGGCCTCTCTCATCTTTTTAAGTGGGAGAACTTGCACAATTGGTGGCTGACTAAATACTTTTTTTAAATTAATTAATTGTGATATTAACTGTGTTGTGGTTCTTTGTTTTCTTTTTATGTTCTGTTTATTTTCATTTATAGTTATAGTTCACAAGCATGAGAAGTGAATAACTCTTCTAAGCTAAGGTCACTGAATGCTTCAAGACACACAGGCACAATTGAATGACTGAATGAGAGGGAACTATCAATAAATCTCCCATGATAACCCTCAGGACTGTATGTGACGGCTGTTTACATATATGGCCTGCACACTGACAGTTCTCTCAAAATAATGAAGTCATTTAAAGCCCCATTTGACTCACTGTGTTGATACATCTACTGAAAGGGTTTGTGCCCATCCAAATAATTAGATGTGAGAACGCCAGAGGAAAATTCATTGAGGTTCATTTATCCATGAATGCTGTTCGTTCAGTGAAACACTCTTTCCCTGCTCTAAAGGAGTATTCTACAGCAATTTGTCAGTTTCAAGTGAAGAACTGACTCAAACCTCTGTTTTCTTAGTCACAAGGGGTGATATCACATGTACGCATTCTGGTCAACACTGGAGATTTTTCCAATTGATGTCTAAAAATAGTATTTTATGACCTACCTTAGACATGCTTTGATGGTGATGGTGTTGTTAAGTACTTTGAGTGGCAGCTGTCCATATTCATTGGGCTTCATTCTCGCACTTGTTTACGTCATCCTTCCTACAGCGCTTTGTCATTATAATTCAATCACTGCAACATTATAATTTCAATGGATACATTCTGTTTTTAAACAGTGAATGTGAATTAGCCTTTTCTTATTGACAATTAATGGGCATTTGTTAAATGCACCTTCAAAGGAACAGTTCACCAAAAATGAGCATTTGCTTAATATTTATTCTTTATCAGGCCATCCAAAATGAGTTTGTTTCTTCATCGGGACAGAGAAATTTACTTGCTCACCTATTAATACCAATATTATGACACAATGCAGGGCTGTAGAGTGTGATATATGTTGCACGTGGTATGAAAAAAATCAGTCTGTGCCAGGGCTCTACAGTGCGACATATACTAGTGCTACAGCGCACATTCTATCAGCTGCAGTTCTGGTGCAGCCGTATCAGTATACTGTACAATGCGACATACATTCACATTAAATGTCAACTCAGCAGTAGAGTTACACTCATAGGACACTGCACTTATGCGCAATCACAAAAGTACATTATTAGCATCTGTTTAAACATTTAACTGACGTGCTGTTCTGACATGCGTTTTTTCTGAGCACATATACACATTAAGCGCGCGCACACCGCACACTAAAACAGCGCCTGATTACTAGACTAAGTTGTCTTTCGCGTCTGATTGATTTTGCATCTAATACTGTCAAAAACACACAAGGTTTACATTTAACAGTTGGTTGTCTAAATGCAAGTAAACAGTTGAGAGAGAAAGGGATGAGTGCAGCTCTTAAAGCGACAGTACTAAACATGCTGCCCAGGGCCGTTTCTAGGCATAGAGAGCTAGGCAGTCGCCTAGGGCGCCACCAGCTGAAGGGGCGCCAATGAGCACACGTACTGGCACTTTTAGCAGGGTTGTGATAAAGAGTGGCACGGTCACCTTGAAATATGACTGCCGCCCCCACTGGATCCCCCAACATTATTGGGCTAGAGTACTGTCAATCTGATGATGC